CCCCAAAACCCCAAAACCCCAAAACCCCAAAACCCCAAAACCCCAAGAATATTATATTTAATTGAATTTTAATCAAAATAATAAATGAAACCTCATGCTTATGATGTAATGCCTGCTCCAGTAAACAAGCATGTGGAACAAGTTCTTCATAAGGCACATAAATCAATTAAAATGAAGGTAACAAAGAAAATATAATTTATAGTCAGCCCTTTCTGGACATGAAGGCCCTGTGTTTGTAGTAAGGTAAGTCAAATACCCTTTATCATAGAAAATGCCATACTAAGGAATATTGCTTGTCTGGAGCTTCTGATAGACAAATTAAACTATGGAATATTACTACTGGAAGTTGACTCAAAACATACGAGAAGGGACACAATCATGAAGTATTTGATATTGCTGTTTGTGATGATAATAAGCAATTTGTATCCTGAGGAGGAGACAAACCAATAATATTATGGGACGTATTCACAGCCAACATTATTCGTAAATTTATGGGTCATGATCAACAAGTCAATTGATTATGGTAAAATACCTTAACTAAATTATAGCTACAACAAGTTCTATAATGTTTTAGTGTCAGGATCTTATGATTCAACTTGTAAAATATGGGATTTGGAAGCAAGAAATTCCAGACCAATCCAAACATTATTTGATTTCCAAGATTCAGTCACTAACGTGTGAGTGACCTCAGACCAGATAATTTGTGGTTCAGTAGATGAAAATCTTAGAATTTACGATATTAGATTTGGAAAATTAAAAACTCATAATGTGGGGGCTCCAATAAATGGTCTTTATGCATGAGGAGATGACGATTATGTATTCTGTACAACCACAGATAATAAAATTATCTTATACGATAAGGCAGAGGAGAAAATAATTTCTGAGTATTCAGGTGACCATGAAACCTCTGAATTCAATGCAAGTGTTAGGGTTACATCTGATAATTCTTCAGTTGTGACGACTAGCGAAGATGGAGCAATTGTCTTCTATGATTTAGTGACGAAGAAAATGGTGAATAAGGTATTTGGCCATGAAAAACCCATAGTCAGCATGGATATCATGTAAGAAACTAATTAACGTTTAGAAATGGGACAAAGGATGGATCAGAAGAAGTAATGGTAACAGGATCTTTGGATGGAACTGTTGGAGTATGGTCAACCTAAATTGCAATTAAAGTAATTGTTGACAATTATAAAACTCAATTGACTAATAAGAGTTAGGGGTTTTGGGGTTTTGGGGTTTTGGGGTTTTGGGG